CATTGTAAACTGTGGTCAATGACATGAGACAAAGTATATGTGAACTGCTGTATGGAAAGTGAATTTGCTCTGTAAATCTTCACCCAAACCACAATAAATAAAATTTAAAAAAAAAAAAAGAACTATTTCAGAATTCCCAGATTTGGACAAATGATTTATAAAAGCACTTGTAAAGGGGAAATTTTCAAGTTTTACATCTTCATTTCTCCCAAAACTTCACCCACCTCCTATATATTTCACTCATTAGTTTCTTCCCTACAAGGTATTGACTTAAATGTTCAGCATTTATATTTATTTGGGGTTTTATATGTATGTATTTTCTTCTTCTTCTAAGGACATGAATTTGCTGGCTTATGACTGTAGTTTCGTGGTATATAAAGGCTAATACATAGCCATTTTTATTTGTCATTACCTTGAGGCAGAGCCTTGAAGTACCACATATATACCCCCATATTTTGTTCTTAAGGAAATACAATTACCTATCCTTTAGCAGGAATGATAAAAATACTGTTTCTTCCTAGCAGTATTTTCAGAAGCAGATCTTTCTCATAAATTCTGTTTTTTGTATTTGTACAAAGCCCGAGTCCAGGGTGAAGTCAGGGTTAAGATGAACCTGGACCATCTTGTGTCAGAAAGTAAGGAATATTAATATATATATATGGGGCATAGGCAAAAGGACAGAGTCAGAAAGTGTTCCACTGGCCAAATCTGGGGCAGGGTTTTTTTTTTTTTTTTTTTAGCGTTAAAATAAGTACAGTAAAGAACTTAAAATCATTGAAAAAAGTAACAACCCATGGATCCATACTTATGATGAGTGGTTGGAGGGGAAAGGAAGGCTCATCCTTACAGTAGAATGCTAACTGATAACTGTACAGGGAATGATGAAGTTGGAAAATCACAATTTTGCAAAATAAAGATTGGTTTGGACAAAAATTCTAAATGGATACTAAATATAGGGGGCTAAATTTTGATGAGGATCAGGATGTCTTCATAGTCTTAAGTGTCTCCCTGCATACTGCTTCTTAGTTGCAAAGGGGAAAATAGTAACTACAAAATGGAAAAACCAATGAGGGGCAGGTGGGCCTCTGGGTGTGATGCTCTGAGAAGGATTAAATGTCATATTTGTATATAAGTGGTATTGTACAGCCCAGTGTTAACAGTAGGTGAAGTTGAGTAACAGAGTTCTCTGTTAAATTCTTACAGCTTTTCTCTCATTTGAAATTGTTTCCAAATAAAAATTTAAAAATCTAATTCTGTTTGATATTTACTAGCCCTTTCTAAGGCGCAAAGTGACGTGATGACAATGAAGATGCAATCAGAGAGACTTTCAAAAGAATATGACCGACTCCTGAGAGAGCACTCAGAACTTCAGGTGGGTGACCTTCACTTTCTGGGTTTCAATTTCTTGGAATATTGATTACCTAAGTCAACTCTTTGGCATATTTACCTTTTCCAAATCAAGAAGATATGCTTAATCTTGACTTTGTTAAATCAAAGAAGCCAGGTAACTGGAGAGTAAAGATTAGAACTTTGCATGGAAAGACAAGAAGATCATGGCATTGTACCACCAGAGCTCTTCTCTGGTACCATCTGGTCTCCTCTAGGAACACCAGATTTTTAATAAATAAATAAATAAAAGATAATTTCATTAACACTTTTCAGATGCTAAGAAGTGCTATGAAGACATTTTTAAACATGATGGTGGCTAGGTATGGAAAGTTGTCAGGGAAGTCCCTCTGAGTAGTCCCTCAGCTTTTGGGTTGAATGAAGCCAGAATTATGAGGAGATAATTACCAGCATCATTGGCTCTGTTGGTGTAGTGGTTAAGGCATTTGGCTGTTAACAGAGGGGGCAGTGGGTTCAAGCCCGCCAGCCACTCTACGGAAGAAAGATGAGGAGGTCTGCTTCTGTAAAGATTTATAGACTTGGAAACCCAATGGGAGTCACTGTGAGTTGGAATTAACTTGATGGTGGTGAGTTTAATTTGGTTTTGTCTTTGACTCCATTGCCCCTGGAGTTCTTTGAGGGGGAAAAAAAAAAAAAAGAAGATCATTGCCTAGACTTACTTACATACTAACTCACAGTGTGTCAGACTGGTTTCGTTGAAGTTTTAAGGAAAAGAATTGATCCATAAATTACCAACATTGAAAAACGGACTGGTTCTAGAAAAACTGAATTTTGCTGTTAAGAATGTGTGCCATATTCATGCTGACATGAGGCCAAAAATTGAAGTCTCAGATCACACTATTCCTTCTGTCCCAATGTTTTAGTCATATTAGAATAAAACTTATGGCATTCAAACATATGGTTTACCTTCAAAAGATAATTTGAAAACTAAAATGAGAAATAAATGTTGGTTGTTAAAGTCTTATTTGAAGTCTCAGCTCCATTGGCCACAAAGTCAAGTGCCGTAGGGTTTCTTTCTCTTCCCCTCCATTCAAGCCAGAGTTCCCCTCATCCACGTTGGGCTCTTTGGCTCCCTCTGCTCTTCAGCTGCCAGCCCTGGCCTGAATTGATTTCCCAGCCTCACCACACTTTGCCCATATGTGGGGAGAAGTGGGAAAGAGCAGAGGGCCCCACATTCCTGGGGAGGGAGCAGGAAAAGACCATTCCAGAGGCTGCTGTGGCCTTTCCTCCCAACTCCTCCAAAGGCTGAGGATGTATCTTCAGCACTTGGGTTGGGCGATCCTCAAAATCTGGCAGCATGTGTAACTGCTGATCCCACTTCTAGTGTGTCAGTTTGTCATATTGTGGTGTCTTGTGTGTTGCTGTGATACTGGAAACTAGGCCACTGGTACTTGAAATACCAGCAGGGTCACTCATGGTGGACAGGCTTCGGTGGAGCTTCCGGAGTAAGACAAAGTAGTGGGGCAAGAACCTAGCGGTCTACGTGAAGAAAGTAAAAGATCATTAAAAAGGCAGGAAAGAAAGAAAAGACCAAAATGAATGTCAGAAGAGACTGTGAAATTTGATGTTGAACATAGAGCAGCTAAAGCGAATAGAAGAAATGATGCAAAAAAATCACTGAACAAAAGATTTCAAAGGGCAGCTTAAGAAGACAGAATAAAGTATTATAATGAAACATGCAAAGACCTGGAGTTAGGAAACCAAATGGAAAGAACACGCTTGGCATTTCTCAAACTGAAAAGAACTGAAGAAAAACGTCAAACCTCAAGTTGCAATATTGAAGGATTCCATGGTGAAAATACTGAATGGCACAGGCAGCACATAAAGAGGATGAAAGGGACACACAGTGTCACCAAAAAGAAAATTTGTCAGTGTTCCCCCATTTCAGGAAGTAGCATATGATCAAGAACCAATCCAAGCTGCACTGAAGTCGTTACTGAAAACAACAACAACAACAAAAAAAAACTCATTGTTATCGAGCTGATTAAAACTGTTAGCAACCCTCATAGGGTTTCCGAGGCTGGAAATCTTTACAGAAGTAGATTGTGCCATCTTCCTTCTGTGGAGCAGCTGGTAGGTTTGAATCACTGACCTTCTGGTTAGCAGCCAAATACCTTATCCACTACACCAGAGCGCCTCTTCTGAAAACAAAGCTTCCAGATTGGTGGAATACCAGTAGAAATGTTCCAACAAACAGATGTAGCACTGGAGGTGATCATTCATCTATGATAAGAAATTTGGAAGACAACTACTTGGCCAACTGACTAGAAGCGATCCACATTCATGCCCATTCCAAAGAACGGTGATGTAACAGAATGCAGAAATTATCAAATAATATCATTAATATCACAAGCAAGTAAAATTTTGCTGGAGTTAGTTCAAAAACAGTTGCAGCAATACGTTCACAAACTCATTGCTGACAAGTCGGATCCAACTCATAGCAACCCCTCCTTGGGTTTCCGAGGCAGTATCACTACGGAAGTAGGTTCCCCAACCTTCCTTCTGAGGAGTGGCTGATGGATTTGAACTCCTAACTTCTGGTTAGGAGTCAAATGCCTTAGGAACTATGCTACCAGAGCTCCTAATACGTTGACAGGGAACTACCAAATATTCAAACTGGATTCAGAAGAGGACCTGAAACGAGAAATATCATTACTGATATCAGGTGAATCTTGGCTGAAAGCAGAGAATCCTAGAAGGATGTTTACTGATGTTTTACTGGCTATACAAAGGCACTCAACTATGTGTATCATAACAAATTATGGATTACATTTCGAAGAATGAGAATTCCAGAACATTTAATTGTGCTCCTGCAGAACCTGTATATAGGCCAAGAGGCAGTCATTAGAAGAAAACAAGGGGATATTGTGTGTTTTAAAATCAGGAACAGTGTGCATCAGTGTTGTATCCTTTCACTATACTTATTCTATCTGTGCACTGAGCAGATAATCCAAGAAACTGGACTGTATGAAAGAGAACGAGGCATCAGGATTGGAGGAAGACTCAGTAACAACCTGTGATATACAGATGACACAACCTTGCTTACTGAAAGTGAAGAAGACTTGAAGCACTTACTGATGAAGACCAAAGACTATATAGCCTTCAGTATGGATTACACCTCAACATAAAACAAAAATCCTCATAACTGCATCAATAAGCAACATCATGATAAGCAAAGAAAACGTTGTTGTTGTTAAGTGCCGTCGAATCGTTTCCGACTCATAGCGACCCCATGCACAGCAGAACGAAACACTGCCCGATCCCGCGCCAGCCCCACAATCCATGCTA